TGTGCTGCTTATAAGTTTGTGCGCCTTATGAAGCTGAAAGAACAAATTTAACATATTATAAACATACGATGCATCAGCAATGTTCTGACTGAACCCCTTATAACCACAAATGATGGTCCTAAGGTAGTAGAACTGCGCGGCAAGTTCCAGTAATTATTCTGCAATTCTTAACACTTGTTGGAATGCCAATCATTGCATAAAAACTCACCTTATTTTCATTTCTTTTGAACACGTATTGTCCATTGGCCCCCTGAAAACCGAGTATTAGTTTGACTGTCGACTCTGGAAATCGAATCTAGAAGAGAGTCAATAAAACTGTTCTATTCTGTCACAATGACTTAGATGAACCACTCTCTAAATAGTGCTTATGTCATCCAACATAAGAGCAAATGAATTCGCAATCGAAAGCAAGCGAAGAGCAATTTTTCAGTGCGTGAAAGGATTAGAGATGAAAAATGTTTTTCAAAATACAAACAATCGAAAGCGATGGAGCATGAGGGTAGTAGCTAATTCACTTTAGCAACTTCTCATAAACGCACCAGGCATTCCAGATCTCCAGATCTGCCGAAGTACCCCTCGGGACCTGTGGTAGCGTAGCCCCGGCGATGGAGCAGCATTGTCACAGCATGGCATTTTTTCAGAAGACGCTTGCCAGTGTTTTTATGCAGGCAGGTAATTTTCGACGCTTCTGCTTAGAGCTATCTAAACGTATTTTCTTTCGAGGAGAGCCAAAGAAAAGTGAAGGTCCGTAAAACTATGACAGTGGCGCGGCCGCGCACGCCGCGTACGCAGTTTCAACAACCGCGGTTTCTTCCTTTCTCCACTCTTCGAAGCATTTATTAGGTTGTAGAGTTCCAAAAAAATCCGGAAGCTGTCTTAAACCGCTAGGTGCACTCCATATGTAGCCCACGATAGGGCGTACACAATAATATGATTGATGCCGCAAATGCACAAATAGCTAACAATTCTATGACAACCTTGTAGGCACATTCACTGCAATTTTTCTTTGATTTCTTTCTCTGCGTTTAATTACATTCTTCTCACCCACAATTTTTTATATATCGCATTGTCTTTCATATGGCAGCACTTTGCCACTACGAAGGGTAAAGAATAAATAAAATATTCAAAAAATTTTTTTCCTAAGTGTGTAGGATTTGATACGGAGAAATGGAAGTGGTTTTTGATTTTCAAACAATGTTCTTCGTGTTAAAATGTGAATGTGCGCTGACATGGCGCACCATGTAGCTTATGAACGTTGCGAACATGATTGTGCTTTCTTTCCATTTTCGCTAAAAACTATGGACTACCCTCCCTGCCTAATTACCACATCTCCCGGTCTCCCCCTGATCTGGAAGAATATCAGTCCGCTGACAAAAATGTCCATAAAACGTACTTTCACCGATAAAGTGGATGTTTTGCGCACGGACCCCAGCTCTGACTGTACCAACGGGTAGACCTTTGCACCCCGTCAACACTTTTCAAACACAAGGATTTTCTAAAGTTTCTCAGATTTTGAAAAATAAAAAAATGTAACAGAAATTATCCGCCAACCTAATTAGGTTAGCTGCTAGACACTTGGTGACTGAGCTAACAAAAGTGGTGGATGTTATATGTTCTTGTAACGCCTGGGTGGGGACAAAGACCGCAGTCAGATCCGTTCACGATTCTATCACTGACTTATATATGGTTAAGCATCAATCTTCCGCACTTGCAACTAACAATAAGCTTTTCAAATTTTGCGGTAGCGGCTCCACCAATCTCGTAACTGCCGGCCACGTAGTGACATCTTAACAGTCTCTACTATTGATCCTAAAGAAGTGTTGCTGCATGTCGTTCCAGGACCAGCAGTCCGCGGACGCGGCCCAAACTGGCGGCTTTCGTTCCCCTACCCCCTCCCCCCATTCGCGCACGAAATCTGGCCAGAAGAAATGCAAGGAAATTCTGGTTTTGAGTGCGGTTATGTAAAGCTCATTGAATTTTTAACAAATGAGGTTAGAAGCTGCTTTAAACACCATTGGATAGAGCTTGAAAAGAGCGTTCTTCGACACTTTGCTAAATGCATGTCAAAAAGGGAAGTTTGATGGAAAAAAAGTTGTCCTGAAACAAGGCCTGAAAAACCGCTCATTACTTTTGCACCAACCTAATAATACTTCCTTCGTGATACGGCGTGAGAGCTTTGTCCAGCTTGTCAGATCTGACATTCGAACGCCTATACATTTGAGATCTTTAAATGTATAATATAAAAAAACTAAAAGTAACTCATCAACAGAAAAGGACTGACAAAGGAAGTGTCATGTGTTAGATGAGGTTTTCAGAATATCATTTTAAAATCAATGTAGTCTCTAGATAGTGCCGATAAGCATATAAAGACAGAACGGAACAAGAAACGGAAGGGCAGAACTCACCCGAAGAGCTCCAAACGCCGCGTCAAAACACTTGTCTTCAAACACATTAGCTAGGCAAAAAACATGGATAAGATGAAGAGCTGTTGAGAAAAAGGAAAGGAGGAAAGATAGATAGAATGAAGAAGAACGCCAGAGAGGTAAAATGCAATGAAGCCTGAGAAAAAGCAAGTTTTGGAAATCTGGCTAGGAAAACGCACTTCCCATCGCGGCCTCCGGTTGCGTTGTGACGGCTTTGAGAAGCGTCGGCACAGGTCATTGCCATTTTCGTAGTCTGTTCCGATGGTGCTTTTTGATGCATAATAATTCTGAGCCTTCTTTGCAAATAGCAAATCAGAAACATTCTCTTCGCTGATCCATTACAAACACTTTTGTGATGGATTCATTGCCAAAAATTTTACACCAACATAGATTGTAGTCGTTTATGAGGTTTCGGAAAGCAAGCAGCATAAAATCACAAAGACGCGACTTAAGAGACGCAAAGACTGGGCGCCGTTGCGCCCGGCCAAAATAATTCATGCGTGGAAGAAACAACAGTTTGACAACCAGTCTGATGGTGAAAGAAACGAAAGAGCGCGCGGTCAGAGGACGCCGATACATCCGCAATCTTTGGCTATAAACAGTATATGTGAGAAAAGCCGGGGGTGGGATGAACATTTTTGAGCTTTTTTCAATTTTCATGCGGGGAAAAATTTGGCAATTGGGTTGTGGGTGTAACAGTCTAGTGTATGACAACCACTCTGATTCGCTTGCTTCGTAGGATTTCTTCGGCGAAAATCCGATTTCTATATTATAAAATTTCTCTCGATTTTGGCTGCAAACTGACTCACTACGTAGGTGGATATCCGCTGCTCATTTTGGTGGAGCCTGCTTTGCTCTATCGTTAAGCCCTAAGTCTGCAAAACGAAAACTGTTGAGCTATATAAACAAGGCTTTTTTTGTAACCTAGAGTAAGCGAGCACTTGGCGAACAGGAGGCGAAGAAACCTATCTGTCTCCGTTAGGTAAGCATAAGTTTGAGGAGCACGGAGCAATGACTTTGGCGTTGAATGTGTCATCCTAGCGTTTGAGACTGATGTTCTAGCACGCGAAAGCCCTTTGAAGCGGCGTGGATATACTCTCGTAGTTTGAGTATGAACAACACAATGTCTGACGATAACGAGTGATCTACCGCTATTGATATCGTTGTGCGAGCTCGATATTGCACACTATAAGTACCAAGATTCAATGGGCAGAACTCGGTGATGTCCGTCACACTGATCTAGTGCGAACTCTGACTCTTTGGTGGACCGAAGGTTTGTCTGCCCTCGTTCATGTGCTCAGTATGTTGCGTCAGAGAAAACGTCAAGCGAAGCGGACTCAGACTAAATGTGCGACACAGTACAGCAGATACGTAAACTACAATCCTTTTTACCCCCGAAGACGAGTTATTCGAAACGTTGGGTCAATAAAGTCCCACCATACCAAACTGTGAGGCATAAGAAATATTAGAACAATAATCTATTGTAATCCTGTGTTGTAGTATTGCATCGAGAACAAAATTGCGTCTGTTGATGATTTCTGTATCATCAACCATTGATAAACTCTATATTCTAGAATAGCCTACGGAGTCCCCGTAGGCTAAATTGTGAGCTACTCACTTTGAGTATCTAATCACTCAAAAGTGAGTGGTACCCGTGAGCCAGGAGTGTTGCCATCGGCGGCATCTCCTTTCAATCACCAACTTGTGTATATTGTACCCTTTTTCAGCTCCGCCTTCCTTCGTATATAAGAAGCCTTCGGAGGTATTGCGGGTTCCTCCCCAGTCAACACCAGGACGCCTCGATCTCTTTTTTCGAATAACTTACGCCCGTGCGAATAAATCTATTTTCCATAATTAGTCTACCCATAATCACTTGGTACCCACCAAAGCGTTATAGTTATTTGGGGCTTATTATTTTATTATTATTATTTTATTATTATTTTATTTGGGGCTTATTATTATTTTAAAACCGTATCTTTGACTTGATCCACGAAAATTTTTAAGGCCTCACTTAAAGCTCCTTCTGGAGGATTTACACTAAGATTGCAAAGCCACTATCAAAAATACAGAGGAAATGAGAAGCGCATGGTGTGCGGTCTGTATCTGCAATGCCCCGACGTCTCCTGTGAGGGCTGTCTATGCGCTTTGCAGGTGGTTTATGGGACAGATCAACAATAAACAAGTTTGTGCTTTTTTTGTGCTTTGAGATTCGCTCATGCACCTCTCTGTATCCATAAAAACCACAGCAGAATCGAAAGATCAAAGTTGGAGAATTAAAGGTTATTGTTACTAAAATGATCCATACCAGATGCTTGCATAAGCCTGCGTTCAGACCGTTCCCGGGTGCAAGGCACAATTTACAAAATATAGGAGAAAGCATTTTTCTGAAGAAGTATTTCTGATACATTGCTCATTATACAGTCAAGGTGAATGTAATCCAATCGATTCGTTGAAGGTAGTGTTTTTCACACCTTCAACATAAAACGAAATGTAATCGCAAATCTGTACACGCAAATTCTAGTGTTCGCGTAATATTGGCACAATAAAATTTGAAAGCGCAAGAACAGGATAATAGCACTACAATTTTGAAGACAGCTCTTTGGCAGCTTGGTCTCGTAGGTAACGCCGAAGGATTTTGCCGGATGGCGACTTGGGAATCTCCGAAACAAAGATGACACCACCAGTGAGGAATTTGTAGGATGATACCTTCTCTGAAACGAATATATTGTATGAAATGCGTAAGAAAGTTTCTCATTTGGCTATTTTATGGCATGTAACATTCTCTCACAGTTACATGTTTCTACACATACAGGGTGATTCAAAACCATAATCATAAGAATGGAAAGAGGAAGCAAAGTGCCAAACCGCCTACTAGATTGTGAAGCTTTAATAAGCATTTAAGTAACGATTTTGAGTTGACACTTGATATGTTGATACCTTTCAGAATCTTTCTCTAGATGTGCAGTACAGCCTGGTGTCGAGAATAACAGAGACGCTCGATTTTTGATAAGCATCACAAATCAAAAAAGCTTTCGCCATCAAAAGTAGCAGCAGAGGTTGAGATACAGTCTCGGACAGATTCTTATGCATATTTCGATTCTCTTCCTTCCGGAATATGCAAATTTGAATTTATTGGGTGGAGAGCTGGGGTAGAGAGCTTGATTCTCGAAATTCTCACTGTTTTTTTTCGTTTATAATAGCATTGTGAAGTTACTGCTTCTTTTTTACAAAAGACAAACTGCAGATGTTGATTAATGAAAAACGTTATCAAAATAATAATATTTTTGCCTCCATCTAATATATGCAATTATAAACGCTGCTAATGGATCGCTCCCACACATACCTAGTCTGCTAATGGCATTTTAGCTTTTTTTAAGGCTTATTTTCAATCGTCAACATCTTACCTTCTATGAACCGCTTAACGTCTGCTTCACTTAGAGCATTGTTCGCTCTGACCACATAAGCACGCGGCTTCTCCCCGCTTTTCTCGTCAGGCACTCCTATGACAGCGGCATCGCTAATTTCTTTGTGCGACAAAAGGATATCTTCTAGTTCTGCTGGAGCGACCTAGATAAAGTGCAAGGCTAACTTGTTAATGATTTAAGGAAACTCAACATATGGAAAACGTACTTGCAGTCCCTTCACTTTGATGAGTTCCTTCAGGCGGTCGACAATAAATAAATGGCCCTTTTCGTCTACGTAACCGATGTCACCTGAATGCAATCATGATGATGTTCACTTGTGATGCACTCTGTAAGTGAACGTAAACTGTTGAACAATCTATTTTTTATTCGGTCATTACACCCTTTTGCTCAAGCAATCATTTTTTGAGCCTTACCGAACCAAATGTCAAAGGTCTATTATAAAAATGTGCAAGTGATTTGTTTACTCGTGCAAATTAAAACATTTAGTATGTTCAAAAATTCAGATTAGCCTTGTGAAAAAATTGTTTTCTTGAGCTTCAGGGGATATGAGCCCGCGAAATTTTTGAGAAGCAACCCAAAATTTTTTTCGCAGTGCGTGGTTGACGCCAAGTATCTTCATTTAAAGATAATTTTTGCTGCCCTTCTACCCCCTCCCCGAACGGGGATCCTGCGACCGCCACTGCTCTCCAGTGATTGTGAGAGCAGTGATTGTGCCAACGATTGAATTGATCACCTATAAGAGTCCTTTGAGGGCAAATCTATTGTAAACCAGAGGCGTAAGTTTATCTTGCCTTCAAAAATCGTAAAAACTATTTCCAGGTTACCTTGATGATTCGGTCCTAATAGAATCTTATCTCCCGGCAAGTGTAAATCATATTCCCTTTTTTAGAATTAGAACCTATTGTTTCATAACAGATCTCCCTTTCTGCACTATTTCCGACAGAATAGGACGCTTAAACGACTAGACAAGCAGGACCGTTGTGGTTATGGGCCACTGACGGTTACGTCCCTTCTTTTCAAGTTGTAATGTATTTAACCAATACAAGCAAGTAAAAGGATGTTATACAGTTGTTAAATCTGCAACGGCTCTTCTTCCGACATACACAGCATTGGCGGCGATTCTTCCAGGAAGCATCAACCGAATAGCAGTTTGTAACTCGTCCAAGGTGATTGAAATCTCTCTGCCGTCATGTCCAAGACGAGCAGCCTCCCTCACAATCAACTCGAAGAGGCCGAAAACAATCACATTCATGAGGACCATCATTCTTCGCGAGATTCCGAGACAGGGATGAACTTTTCTGAGGAGGCAATAAGTGCCAAAGGAGAATGGACCCTTTCTGTAATGAAAGCAGCTCCTCTCTCCTACTCGATGCGCTTTTTGGGAACTTTTAACGTAGTTAACAGAAAGTTTTGCAGGCATCTTCGAGAAAGAGCTGCTCCAGCAATCGATTCGCAGCGAGAATGAATCATTGTCGTGTCATACTGCTGGTTGCTTGGCATTGCGTGCTCTGACGGATTTTCTGTCATTGTTTTCCCCTAAACCTATGCAGCTTTCCGAAATTTGTACGTAAGCCTTCGACGAATTGAGAGGTTGTATTTATAGAGGTGTCTCAAAAAATTTTACACACTGTTTAGTTGTTTATATCTTTCTTGCCACGGAGACTGTCTCCTCTCTTACAATTAGAGTGCCATTCTATACAGCTAGCTTTACACATGAATGCGAAACGAGTGTCACCAATCACTCTTTGTTACTGAATGATCACGATGGGAACATTCAGCATACAAGCGCCGTTGTAAGATAGGTTGTTCTTTAAAAAACTGTCACATAATCTGAAGTCTGTCAATTGTGCTCATTTCACTACAAAACTTTTATATTGAGCTTTGAAGCTTTTTTAGTGGTGTCACAATTTCAAGGATTAAAGAGTCATTTGGGCGGCATACTTCGTACAAGTCGTAGAAGAAGCACTACGGTAAAGCGCGAAAAAGTCAGCGTCTTTGAAAGTCTAATATTGTTTTCGGATGGTTCCTTGTCAAGCAGAATGTGGCCTGCATGGCTTAAAACGGTCTAAAAGGTTATTTCTACAATAGTTAAGCGCAGGCAGTACGCCATTTGCCAGCTCCACAGCACGTTATTCAAAGATCAGCAGAACACTTTACAGGAAGAGAGGTACTAACGATTGAAAAGTGTGCACATTTTTTGGGACAGATGTCGAGTCTCTGGAGTACTGTCAGAAGTCATGGAATGCCTACTGAATCAAGCTCTGCATTTTCAAGGCGGCTAAGACTCGCACTGACGTCTCCTGGTTGAATAGATTATGTGGAGCATGTTAACCTATTCACAAGATGAAATAAGTTATCCCGATGATGCCTTGGATTTTTTGCTTCATTGTTTCCTTTGGAGCAGACAAAGCGGACGGAAAAAAGAGCAGAGGAGACGGTCTATCGCTTCAATTACGTTGCGACATTTATCCTTGTCAAGCAGAAATTGCAGCATATTCCAAGTTTATGGTCTTGGTCAATGTCTGATTTTGTATTCATCCATCTTGACAGTATTTGTACAAATGTGAGTGGTTGTCAATATCGAGATGTTACGACTTTAGAACTAATCACAGTATAAGAGGTTGAGAGCCACTACCACCACTGAAGATACCTTCAAACAATAACAGATCGCAAAATGTGTGTTAGTAGGTGAGTAAGCTGACCGAGGTTAGTAGATTTTATTAGTGGCGGCCTAACGTTTCGAACAAGTCGTCTCCTTCAGAGGCCTAAAGTGGTAGGAGATTTACGATTATGTGTCTAACCCACCAAAATCCTCCACCAGCCCCGACCAGCCTCGACTTTGCCCCAGAATATTACAAGAAAAAGTCCCAAACGTGAAAGACGAACTGACCTCCTCCACCGTCGGCGCGCGGATGTTAGGGCGGCCGTCCTTCGATGCCACTAGTATAATAATGGAATACATTGTATACCATATTTGGACTAATCACTAGTGGCCTTCAACTGCATAACGTCACAAAAGGCATAAAGTCATTCGTAATCGACATACACTCATTCCGGCTGTTCATACTTGGGTTTCTCGCATAAATCCAGAATGCCTCGAGAGCTTTTCTTACAGCAGTGTCGTACTCGTATGCCAGTATAGTACATCTAACTTGGAAGTCATTACCACCGTGACATTCAACCCTATGTTTACCAAGAGGAGTGGTAAGACTTCCCTTCTTCTTGCTGGCAAGAAAAAAAAAGATCGCAAAATGTTTTTTAGTGACTGACATTTAGTCTTCCCTGTTTGATTTTGAGGCTGTCACCAAACTCACGCTCAATTTTTTGTTGACAGTTATTTCTTTAACAAATGGTTGCGCATCGCTCAAAGTGTCTATGGACTAACAGCTGTCCATGACCACAAACACAAATTTCAACGGTTTGTTACCTGTATGCAACCAGCAGTCAGCATCAATCGTCTCGGCAGTAGCGTCGGAGCGATTCAGGTAGCCTTTCATGACGGTTGGCCCACGAACGCAAATCTCACCCCTCTCTCCCATTGGCACTTCTTCACCAGAGCTTGTCGAGATTATCTTAACTCTTGATAGTATTTTTCATTGTGTAACATGTGGGGGTGACAGCTGGACAACTGTTAGAAATATACGATATCAAAGCTTAAGAGTGTCAAACAACTTTCAGAGAACAGGGCGTGTTCGAATGTCATGAGATGAAATCGGTTTTCGCAGTAAACTTCACTTACAGTTAGATGAAACTATCCGTCATAACCTCACCTTTTGTTCGAACGTGGCAACGAGTTTGCCGACATTGTCGTAGCTACTTCGAGAATCTAACATAGGCAGATGTGTGGCCATACTGCATTCTGTCATTCCATATGCTGAACTTATACTGAATCCGTTCTATTGAGGTGTTTGGAAAGCCGCGGAACAATGTTCTTCTCGTTCATTTTTCTCATCATGGTAGGTGTCATGCATAGTATATATCATGCATATGAAAAATGACAAAATGATCGTTCGATTTTTGGACTATAGCTGCCAGAACGGTGGCTTCTCTAGCTTTTATGTTCAATGGTAAAGGTGTCTTCATATTCATTTTCTTCCTAGTCGTTCTAGTGTATTGGGTTGTCCCGCAAAACTTGTCGGTTTTTTGATTGGCCATTAAAACTCAGCAGAGCTCTGATGGCAAACGAGTGGGTATCGCATTTTAATTTCCATCCAGTTTTGACAGCAGTATTGCCTTTTTGATTTATGCAGACTCATGTCATCGTCACCGTTGAGCTATTCGGCAGAAACGCAACATTTTCGAGTTTCATAAAAATTCTATCACTTGATGAAAGCGCTCATGCGTGTTACGTAGATGACCTGTGGCTACCTTATTCTCATTTCAAACTACATGGATCAAGTTTTTGAAGCCCGTAATAATTCTTATTTGAGAAGACCTTCTTCGCAGTGTCCTACTCTCTTTCGAAAATCTAAGATAAAATGTTTGAAGAGCAACCGATTTTCGAGCAGTCAGCAATGAAGTGAGGAATTTTGGCTGTTATCAAGAAGAGTTTCGTGAATTATGGTTCGAAAATATATTCAGAAAGGAAAAAAGCGGCATTGAATGAATGCTTGAAGGCGTAGGCATTCATTATAGGCTTTATAGTCATTCGAAAAAGCCGACAAAATTTTGAGACAATCTAATATAACGTCTAACAACGGTAGCGAAAGAAGAGCAAAATTTTTAATCATTTTACTTTTTTTGATTTCTTTTACGAATTTCTAATCATTTTCTAATTTTGCTCACCCGTTCTTCATTGAAAATCTCCAGCTAACAATAAGCTCAAAAGCGACATGAGAAGATGCGCTAGGACTAGTTCAGTAAGTACCTTGCGCCAAATATCGTACGTGCTTGTGTTTATTCAGAAACTCATCGCAGAGGTCTTTTCCAGCAGGAGCAGCTCCAGTGAGGATCATTTGGAGGGAAGTGAGGTCATAGTCGGATGTAGACGGATGTTTTGTTAGAAACAGCAATATCGGAGGGACAAGCATAAGCATTTTCGGCTAAAGGAAAGGAGTTCTCGTCCAGTGGTTACTGGCTGTAAATTTTGCTAACCCGATATCTTTGTATGGAGTCCAAAAAGAGCGTGGGTTCAAACTTGGAGAAAATAACTGCAGTAGTTCCCTTGATCAGCGTTATGTTCATGAGCCCAAAACCATAAATATGATAGAACGGCAATACCAACAGCACATGCTCATTATGGTAGTCCCAATCTGAGTCGCCAAGTTTTGGAACTACATGATCATCGAAATGTCTGAATATCACAATATATCTTGAATATCTTTACTATGATTTGATTGAAAAAGTATAGCTTCGTCACCGATTAATTACATCCAACATAGTTGCGAAGCTGCTATGGGTCAGGATAACACCCTTAGGAGATCCTGTGGTACCACTCGAATATGGAAGCAGAGCCATGTCGTCTGGACTGTAAGTGAATGAACAAATTTTGCCAGAAATTGCTTGCGAGACTCGTCGAAACAGTGACTTTTTATGGTACACGAAAAATTATTTGCCTAGCAAAAAGTCATTAACAAAAAGTACGCATATCAAATTGGATAGTTGGGGAGCAACTGATGGAAGTTGACCCATCTATTGCGGATACCAACATAGAATGTAAAAATGTATCTCGACTCAGAGGACTAACTTCATGCCCTTCAAATGAGGAAATAGGTTCCTACCAGTGGCGGACCGAGGGGCGGGGGATGCCTCCTCCCACCTTCCCGAGAATGGGTCGCGAAATTTTTAAAAATTACTTATATGGGCTATAAAAATGCGCAATTGACTTGTTTACTTTTGAAACAAGTAAAATGTTATGTTGTGTTTTTAAAAATTTTCAAAAACTCAAATTAGCCCCGTAAAAAAATTTTTTTGGAGTGCGTGGCTGACGCCACGCACCTTCATTGGAAAAATTTTTTTGCCCCCCCCCTCCATCCGAAAAATCCCGGTACCGCCACTGGTTCCTACAGAAAATGTTGATTATACAGAGTTTTTAAAAATGTGCCGAGCTTTTGATCTTTAATAACACACTCGTGAAAAGTTTTTGCGGCCCTTCAAAAGTGTTGATGGGTTGGACTCAATTTGAATTAACAATATGGAACGAACCATGAATTATCATTAATATAGCAGCTTAGAAACTTAGCGAACTTTAGAAGGGGTTTGGCTTTTTCAAAGAATCTAGAACTCTTATTAGGCTAATCAAATTGAAACAAGCGGATTTTACCCCTTACTATGATGCTTTGTTGATAAGTATGCCAAGTGCATGTTCAAAAACGTTCTCACAGTTGAAAGTATTTACACCGTAAAAATTTGTAGACGTGTAAAAAGACAAATGGGGTACTCAATTGTTTTTTTGCAAATTTTTTCATCGGCGACTAACACACAATGGCGCTTTACGCCAGCACTTCCTACCGTTTTTCTACGCTACAGGTAATAAAAAGCTGTTGATTATAATTTATTCCATACTGTAAATCTTGGTTGAAGCTAACTCTACAATACGATAGCTGATGGCCGCCAACACTTTTTATGCAAGAGAATAGTAGCGAACAAAGTGTTTTTTGTTAGAAGCTTGTATAATAACTTTCGTTGAAAGTTCGCAAATATTCATTGAATGAACGTTGAAGTGCTAAAGGTACCTGTATTCGTATTTGGGAAGGGATGAAACCGGCGTTGCGATCACCTCATCCCATGCTATGACACCTTTCGGAAGAGCACCCGACGACTGTTGTGTTCGGGTGCATATGACTGTCTGGAGAAGTTATAATCAGTCGGTTAGAATGTGTTGTAGGAGCTACTAAAACCTACCTTTACTTCCGGACATCTTTTGCTGGCAAGAAGAACTTTGTTCAGATGGGGTTCATCAGTGATAATAACCTTGCAGTGCGAATCAACAAACTGCCTTTCAAGTTCGTCTGTAAACTTTTCCACGCAAGAATATTATAGTTCGTAAACACACGCTAGCAAAATTATGATGGAAACCAATGTTTTCCTTCGTTTTACATTACTTAGCGTTATGATTATAGAACACAGTACTTACAGTCAGTGAACATCGCACTGGCCGCGGACATTACTCCTCCACACAGCAGTGCCCCCAAATAGAAAACAGCATACTCGATGCAGTTGGGCATCACTTGACAACACACATCTAGATGTCCATGTCCTCTGAAAGGTTTTTTTAGAATCTAGATATAATTACACACCTTAGAAAAAAATTCAATCGAAGTAGCTCTCAAATAATACCATATAACTTCCAAATATCAAATTAGCGAATGATCTTCAATACAATTTTGAAAATTTGAAAATCTCCAGCCTTGTCGAAAAATCCCATGTATGTGATTGACATGTGGACAGGGTTGATCTATTCATCGGCACTGTCACTTCCGCGGTCCTTGCGCAAAACACCCACTTTATGAGTGGAAGTCTATTTTTGGCTACTTTGAAATGAATTGGCACTCTTCGGAGTGATAAGCGAGGGACTCTGTGGCAATCCGAAGGACATGGTCCATAGTATCTAGCAAATGGGGTGACAAGTCATATCCACACATCTTTCTTTTGAGCAGTTGAAATGTGCACGCATGTTGACGAGCGACAGTTTTCCGACCTGAGAAATCTAATACCATAATTTTAGATGTAAGTGAATTTTTGACCCTTTTATGGCACCACCATGTTAACGGAGCATGTGCACCTCATTTCAAGACCATGTTACATGAACAAATTATATAACAGATTGAGTTCAACTGTTCGTCCGAGCAGTCATTGGAGAGTGTTGACAACGTATGCGGCATTAGGTACACGGCTTTGGAAATTTTATAAGTCAGTGAACTCTGTATTTTGCGTTGGCAAACTATTCAATCAATTTGACTAGCTTCATGACTAGTAAGCGGAAATAAATGACAAAGCATTCAGTGATTATCTAGATTCCGTCAAACTCGGGTTGAACTTACGATTGTCTCTAAATTATGCACCATCGTAAGTTCAACCCGAATTTGACAAAATCTAGACAATCACTGAACGCTTGAAAAAGATTTTTGAAAATTACTTGTATGGGTTATAAAAACGCGCAAGTGACTTGTTTATTTTTGTAAGCAATTAAAATATTTTTTAAAAGTTTTCAAAAATTTAAATTAGCCTTGCAAAAATTTTCTTTTCGGCGGCGTGGCTGACGTCACGCCCCCTTTTTCTAGACTTTGGGGGAAGGGGACTCGCAAAAATTCTGAGAAGCACCCCAAAAAATTTTTCGGAGTGCGCGGCTAATGCCACGCACCTTCATTTGAAAAATTTTTTTGTCGCGCCCCCCCCCCGGTCCGAAATCCGAAATCCGAAATCTCTACCCCTCATAACCCATGAGACTTATGTCAGAAGTAGTTACCTCACTACGACTTTTTAGTAGCTAAAAGTACTTCTTAAAGGCATGAATAAAAAGGCGTGTACTATTTTGAGATACAATCTGATTCGTTGTATTCACAAAAGTGCACAGTTCTCGAAAATTTCTAAAAATCCTAAAAAATCAGAACGTTCCGACGTTTGTCACAACAAATAAGTCGTTTTATAAAAGAGTGAAGATTGCAATTGTACAGGGCGTTTGGAATGTTTCTGGCCTCAGGTGCGAATTCGAATTCGGTTTTTGCTATATGTGTTCGCTAAACCTAGAAACACTAAATAAGGAAAAATTTTTCCAAGATGCTTCAAAAAACCTTGAAAGCAACTAATCTTTTCAGCTTCCTCACAGAAGCGAAGAGTACGTTATTCGATTTGTTCTATAGTCGTCCTCCCCCCACTAGACACTCAGTGGACGAATTTGAATTTGAGCAGGAGCAAAGGGCTAGCGTCAGAGCGCGGTTTACCCCGCCCCTCTCAAAGTGCGCGCATATGGTGTTCTTCCCTTTCTCTTCGCGTTTCTTTGTTGTTACTCTTACTGCGGCAATGCATCATATCAAATTCAAGATTTTGTTACCGGTGATCGTTGTTTCATGTTGTTATTATCGTTTGCCTTATATTTTCTTTCCCAGGCAAAGCTGGAAATACGATGCAGTGAAGACTAGGGCTAGGAATTCACTTCCTCACAGAGAAGGAAAGCGTTGAACAAACAACTGAGTGCTTACGTGCAATTAAGGATACATATGGCACGGATATTGCCATACAAAACAAATATGTGGGATGCATCACCCAAAAAACTCACTTGTATACTTGTTGAAAAGATTCAGGTCTGAAAGAAAAAGTTTGATGAGCACGCTCAACTGAGAAATTGATTCATAATTCACGAAAGCAACGGTTGTGCATGTGTTTTTTTTAACCGGAAAGGGCGATAAGCGACATTTCATTAAACAATTTTCAATTGCTCGTATTCCCACCTTTACCTGAAGAAAAATGTAAGGCAAACGATAATAACAGTATGAAACAACGATCACCGGTAACAAAATCTCGAGTCTGATATGATGCATTGTCGCAATAAGAGTAACAACAAAGAAACACGAAAAGAAATGAGAAAACAGCTTATGCGCACACTTTGACTGGAGCAGCGTCTGCCGCGCTCTGACGCTAGCCGCTTGCTCCTACTCAAATCCAAATTCGTCCACTGAGTGTCTAGTGGGGGGAGGACCACTATACTTTTTCAGCCATAACGGAAACAACTCTCAGTGTTCTATTACAAAAAGTACTAAATCGACACTTTCATCATGTAACAAAACTTCTGCAATGCTTGCCAACAAAGACTTTCATGAGTCGCTAAATTACGGCAGACAATCGCCCAAGTTTACGTAGAAATCTAAGTGGTTTGGAAAATTTTGGAGGTTTTTAATGTATATTTATAGCACAACTCTATACCCCTCATTGTGTTTGTTTTCAAATTTTTGCATTGTATGAGGTTTTTGAAGATAAAATATAAAAATATTGGCGAGAAAATCTTGAAACTGGATTTTTTGTTTTCGAGGTACAGTATTTTGAATGGAACACAATTCTACGAAAATAACATGCAAAAATTAGAAAGAAAAGGCTTTCAGAGGCGTACAAGGTTTGTGGGAATTCTTTACTTTTTCGTCACAAGCATTGCAAAGATAGAGGTATGAAAGAAATGCTATACTTATTGTATTTCAAAGAAATTCTAATATATATAAAGATAAGCGCAATTCATAAATCTTCCAATAGCGGGAAACCGCGTGGCGGTCCCGAAGCGCGCGGATGCAGTCTAGCACTTTTAATAACTGGTTCACTAGTAAAAAATCAAAGAAACCACAGAGAAACCTAATGTTTACTAAATTAATGGGTTCTGGGTTTGATGAGTACATCAAAACAATAAACGGGTCAAAATTTGAATTGGAAGTACTGCAAGCCAGGTACTTCAACACCCTGTAGGCGACCAAGCAAGGAATTTTTTGTCTGAAAATTCTTTTCACTGTTATGATCTTAGCTGCTCAATACGTGTAAAGTGGTAGATTGGAGAGAGGATACAAAAAACATGGTAAGCAAAGTCGGAAATTTAGGTTCGAACCATGTATATTCAACACTGACCAGTCCCTATAACTTCAGGATTATACGAAGACCACGTTAAAGAGTTGAAGATATGATTAAAACAAACATCAGTAAAAGCTGGAAGCTTTATTTCCGATCACGATTTTTGGAAGCTCTAGACAATTCCAAAAATTTATTTTTCTGAAACTTGCAATGTCGTAGAGCGTTGACCCCGAAAATTCGAATGTCAAAAGTACAAGTTCAGATCAGTTCCTTTTCATGAATCGAGCTAGAATGGCAAGTGTCATTTATTTTTTGATAGGCTTTGCGTTTATCAACACTCACTTCAAAAGTGATCCCATGTTTTTCGCGGATTTTTCGAAGCATAGTCTATGAATAAAAAAAGGATTGCTCCCCTCCCCCTCCCCACTTTCCTTGCAAATTTTCTTGCTTGCAACTCTCTCAAGCATCATCTCCTCTGGACACTGCCTTTAATGCAGTGGTACACTTTTCTACGAGGACAACTCGAGCTTCGCGCTACTCTAGTTCTTTTTCTTTTAGAATTCAAAAAAGACAAGTTGAAATGAGGTACGACTTTTTGGCGTATGGCGGACCAAACGATGTCAACAAATTGTATTCGGATGTTGTTGAGACAAAATGTAAATTTTCCTAGTTGATTGTTGGTCAGTCCGAGTTCCCTTATCAGATTCGAGTTAATAAGTGCAACAATTTCTGTTTGCGATTGACCTTGTACGGAAGTTGGTTTGCAGTCAAGACTGATTGGCATGCGCACATTTCGCGAAAATGTGTGATAAAATTAGAGCTGTCCATGCATGCAAATAAGGACAAAGCAAAGCTCGAGGATAGCATTTGTAGATACTTCTCCAATTTTTGTAAAAATTGAGTATCAGTAATTAAGAGAACTTTTAGAATAATGCGTGGATATCAATGGAGTCAATATTGTCCCTAGGAGAAAGCGTCACAATTCCAAAAATAAAAATACCTCTTTACCAGAAAACTGGCAACACTGTAAGCTTGGCCATAAACTTCTTTGAATGTAATGCGAATGTCGGGATTTTCTGCTGTTATCTGGAAAGAATTGCGGATACTTGCTGAGCAAAAATAGTAGAGTAGCACTTACAAAGGCGACTCTGTCAGGAGTTCGGTCTATGATTTGCAGCATAGAGGATAGAACTTTCTCATGAAGAGGTCTTTTCTCTACTGCGATTTTTGGGCCTTCCGACACAAGCACCATTTGGAGAGTCTTTGAGAAGGACTGGAATTGTGTTATAGTTTGAATGTAGACAAGGCAGAGAAATTTAATGATTTTTGTAACATTGTGACACTGAAAGAGCCTTTCAGCTGTTATCAAAGTGAAATTGGGTTAGCGCGGGCTTTGACACGGTGAACGGTCTGATAACAGCGCTCTCTGGACCCACCCTATATAAACATCGGGAGTAAAGTCGAGAGTCGTTATGGTCAAATGCGACTGCAGTACTTACAGCATGCAATAAAATTGTGCAAGGGAAGGTTTCATGACTTTTCTCGGAGGATTTCGGTCAACCTGCTACGGAATTCGACGTAGCGCTCACAATGTATTTATTTAAAGTTTGATGATTTTTTCTGATGAAGCTCTTGCAAACGGCGTTGCATCAATCTGCCTCTGAGGCGAGGAAAGCTTGAGAAGCGGCTATTGAAACGCCCCTACATCGATAAGTTAGAGTGCACATAAACACAGTCAAAGGTTAGCGTCCCACAACGACTCTATGTTTTAACCGTCCAAATGCAAGACCAATGACTTTCGGAATAGCCCTTTTTCAACATTTTCATGCTCTGCATTTTCGGAATCAGCGGGAAAGACAAGCCCAGGTACCCTTTGATTATGGGATTGACGGCTGGAAGAGGGGCTTCGAGGCCTAATCAAAGCTAGAGAATGATCAGAGAATCAGCTTGCGAGAGAGACGCAGATTGCGTCGCAAGCGCAAGCGGCCTTCCAGCCGCCCATCACCGTTGTATCAAAGGGTAAGCGAAAAACGCCTCACAATGACGCAGGCAGCTAGAAACAGCAAATTTAGGGACAGCGTTTCCAGCGTAGACATACAATATATATGTTTTTTTAAAAGCATTTTAAGCATCTTAGTGTCCTTCCCTTGTAGGTTGTTGTGGTTGAGAGTGTAATTTCCTCTCGATAAATATTGATGTTTTCATCCGTACCGCTAAAGGACGAAAAATTTGAAACCGTGTCTCCTAAAGGAGTAAGGAACGGAACTCAAGTCATAACAGCTTTGCGGAATGGTACCTACAGGGTGCGCAAAAAGTGCTGTCCCATAGAATAGAGATCAAAAATTGGCGTCATTCACAGTTTCTCGTAAAATCAACACGCTTATGAAAACACCATATTCTAACATTTCACAAAAAATGGCAGCAAAATTCATGAGATATGTTGTAAGCCACGCAGGTTTGTTAAGTTTTTTATTTTTGTCTAACGTTTCGGCAAAAATGCCTTCCTCAGAGACCTGAGAGGAAGCCTCGCACTTGTTTTTTCACTCTGTACTGTCAAATCTCTCTCCTCAACTAGCTCAGTTCAATGCCCTAGGAGCAAACAGCTGAGACAATACATTGTAAGTAACGTACCATGATCTCCACCAATCAGGCAGCAACAGAGTTTTGCGATCCACTGGTGGTAATAGTTAAGAGGGTTGGCAATGGGCCAAAGATTAGCACCTACGAGCCATCTGCTTCATGAGCAGAATAGAAATACCGGTGCTATTACGATGCCCATTTATGTACTGCCCATATATTAATGATTGTTGCATTATAACATCAACACAGTCCGAAATGGACGAGTGTTTCAATTTTTAAATCAACAATCACAGTACATAAGTTTTACTGGAGAAGCGCCCCGAAACGGTTGGCTTCCGTATTTGAACACCCAGCTAATGTTAAGTAACAGTACGATGCGAGTAAACTGGTATCGCAAAGAGAGCTCCAAGAATATCATCTTACACGCGAAATCAGCCCATCCGATGGCCGTAAAACGAGCAGTGCTGCGGAACATGTATAAAACGCAAGTCTGCAGTGGGAAAAGTGAACGACGAGAATCCCTCGAACTGGCAAATGAGATAGCAGCTTCCCAAGGTCTAGACATTTCAAAAACACCGCAAATAATGATGATACCAAGCTCGTACCAGAATCTCATTATGTCTACCGTTTATCTCCGATAAGGTAAAGCACGCTTTCCAGAATTGCATAACAAGCTCAGTTAGAGCAAGATGTTGTTCTCGTAAGCATCCCCCGAAGCAACATCAAGCGACAGCTAGTGCGTAAACGTTTATACGATAAACCTGTATTACAAGGGATTGCGTCATTTGTCCTTACGGGACGATGGGAAACTGTACCAAGTTTGGCATTATCTACGAAATTGAATGTCTAGAATGCCACCACCTACATAGGAGAAACCGATCGTCAACTCAGCGTGCGTATAAATGAACACTTTTTAGTAAAAGACGGGAAAGCATTTCAAGTCTGCTAGGGAAACACAGGAAGGTAGATTATCACGGCAATGACTTCATTATCAAGTGCATCATCCTAGGTCACGAGTCGAAAATTGCTGCTCGCAAAGCGCCTGAAGCGGCATACATTCTTTCGCGCGAACCTAAGCTAAATGGAAAAAATGAGCAGCTCTCCATCATAAGTGAATTGATGCCATTTCTGTCATATTGTCAATTATAGATAACATATCCACTACTACTTAAGCTGTCCATATCGGTCAGTTCTAGTCTATTACCACCAGTGGATCTCAAACATTTGTTGATGCCTGATTGGTGGAGATCTTGGCACGCTACTTAGAATGTATTGTCTCTGCGTGTTTGCTCCTAGGGCATTGAACTGAGCAAGTTGAAAAGAGAGATTTGACAGTACAGAGTGATAAAAACAAGTGCGAGGCTTTCTTTCAGGTCTCTGAGGAAGGCATTTTTGCCGAAAACTTAGACCGAAATAAAAAACTTAACAAACCTGCGTGGCTTACAACATATCTCAGGACTTCAAGCAATGCCCAGGTCTCATGATCAGAGGACGTATAGAATGGCAGCAAAATTTAGCAGCTTCACCTGACGGCGACTCCTTATCCACAACGCATCCCGTAAAAGTTATTGCCCCTTTCTTTTACAAGTGTGAAGATGTTTTGTAAATGCTCACGTTTTCAGAACTTGAGAAATCCTCTATTGCTTAGGCAAGGTAGGAGTGGCTTCAAACTAAACAGTCCGCAGTTGCAGTAAGAGAAAGGGCTGCAAATTTTTCATAAAGAGTTGCTGTGGCGCAACAGGGTGCAATCAGAATACATGGCACAGAAACTACACAACTGGCACTACGTACAAGCGTGTATTGGCTAAAAATTATTATATAGACAGAGTCCAAAGTTTTTCCATTTTCCGTCACTTTTTATTGAAATCTTGAATTGAACCGTAGTTTAGATCCAACTTGTGAGCAAGAGCGGATCAGTCTAGTTGCTTTTCGAGAAATTTTGCGAGCAGCTAAAGATGTAATTTCAACTTGCTTAGTCAAAAACTTTTGTCACTGATTTATAATTGAAAAATGAATTTTGGAGAAGATATTAGGTCATTCCGAGAGTAATTGCGTTTTTTTTCAAAGGAGCGACACATTTGGTGCAACAAAGGTTTCTGAGATAATGGTAGCAATCGATGTAGCATTTCATCCTCTCCCTAATTGTTATAAATCGGTTGCAGCATATCAAGTGAGCTCTTGGAAAATTATCAAAATCCGCGACACATGCTTTTTGAGATACTCAAGTCTCACAAATATTCTAGATTTTTTATTCCAACCCTCCGAAGGAGTGGACAGAAATCCTACAGGAAATAGAACAAATTTGTTCTTCTTACATATCTTGCTAATTTTTTTCAAATATTTTTTGCTAAAACCACCAGGATTTTGGCAGGCCTTCCGAACGAAACCTATCTTAGCCCTACTCTGAGGTCCCGCCTACATGCAAGACTAAAAAACGGTAAATAAAAACTAACGAAGGAAGTACTTTCAATGGCCGTGGCCTTCTTATGCGTCCAATGATGGCTGCTATAAGTGTATCAGAGTCAGTAAACAAATTGAACATATGCAATTGTTTTCGAATCCACGTCGAAACGTGAGCTGATGATACAACTTCTGCAAGTATGCTTACAGAAATCAGCTTTTCCTAACCATACAGATCTAAGAACCAAGGTCTTCCAAATTTTACTGCTTGCGCGGTTTTTCGTGATCCGTACCAGGGAGCCATGTTGCATTCTTTTCATGTTGCAAACTTTGAACAAGAAACATTGCCTGATTGTTTACGTAAACTTATAACTCACATTTTTGTGCTTGATTCAATGCTCGATATACTTGCGTACATACCACTGATCTTCTATGAGCAACGCAATAGTTTTACAGAAATCGTCATTATAAGTTTTCTTTTCTTTCACCTGAACAATCGTTTCGAATTATAACGAAATTTGACAGTTATGGTAAACAATGTGTCTTCGCATTTTTCAACGTATCACTTACTAAGTCATTCATTGCAAATGGTACACCAACATCACTAACTTAGCGAGATTGTCATTACTTTGACATCTGAAAATAACTGTATTATAAAACAACATTATAAGCAAATTACCATACGGCAGGGCTAATCGAAACACTTAATTCTCTTTTGAAAAACAGTAGACAGTAGATTTTCATCCACATGTCGTTCATTACGTTGGTTTTCCTACGGTTTCGACGTTGATTTAAAAACATTTGCATACGTTCAATTTGTTTACTGACTGTGGTACACCTATAGCAGTCTTCATCGGACGCATACAACTCAAAGATGAAGGACTGCAATTCGAAATTTCCGTTGGTTTTGACGATCTCTTACGCCGCTTTTATCATTTTTATCTGTCACAGTAAGTTTGTGCGTTTTAAAATTCTTTTTCATAATTTATAATTCTCGTGCGGGCAGGCGATGAAAACAACCGCACTTACTTTACCTCATAATCATTGTATTACCGATGTGTCTGTCACATAATCATTGTGCGCCATAGTGGCTTTGAAAACATCGTCCAATATGTTCTAATCCTTGCTTTGCCTTCAAAATGCAGTTGATTTTCGAGAAGTTGCCACTCAGGTGCGAATACTATGATTGCAATATACGCAATATACTCCCTACTTCTCCAACACTGTTCCTGAGCGCTGAAAGAATCATAACAGTTGATTATCTAAGTTTACACTCAATCCACTTTGCTTTG